CTCTCCCTCTCTCTCTCCTACTTGTGAATAAGAATGTAAGCTCTCAACCACTGCTCCAGCGCCATGCCTGCCTGCCCTTTGCCATGCTCCCCATCATATGGTCATGGACTCTCCACCCATGAAACTCTAAGTCCCTAATTTAAACACTTTCTTTTGTAAGCTGCCTTGGCCATAGTGTTTTATCACAGCATTAAAAAAGTAACTAAGACATAAGGCTAAGGAAAGTCAAGTATTTGGGCTTCTAAATTGCATCGGTCTACTGTCCTTTCGTCTGGGATGTCTCTGATCAATAGAGCCCGGATGATTCTTCAATCAGGCAGTGTCATGTCTTTTATGAATTATGCTCCCCTGTTGTAGACATGATCTGATTAAAGTCAGAAGTCAGTTTCTTAATACATGTCAGGCCAGTGTCATATGCATGGTAAAGCCAGGCAATGTTTCCGATCAGTAAACATGTTACTACTTGCTGAGCATTTACTATGTTCAAAGAACTTTCAAAACTACCACACTACATTAGCTTACAGTTCCAGGTTCTAGTCCATCACAGCAGGGAAGTCACAGAAGCATGAGCTTGAGAGAACTGACACATTGCATCCTTGGTCCAGAAGCAGAGTGCAATGAACACATCCTTACTAACTCAGGTTCCTTTTTCCTTTTACAGGGCCCAGACTCCTCATCAGGAAATGACATCACCCCCAGTGGATGGGTCTTTCCACATCAATTCACATAATCAAGATAATCTCCTACAGGCATGGCCAAAGGCCCCTCTTTTTGGTGCTTCTAGTTCCTGTCAAGCTGACAATTAATACTAACTATTCACTGGTCTGCTCTTTGTTAAGCTGGACTCTTGACCATTCTGGGATATTGCCTCTCTAGTTAAGAATCATCCCTAAAGAGTTCACTGTTTGGATGGTCGTGGAAAAGCAAATAATAACAAAGCAAGGAATCGACATACTCAGTGCTTCCCATTAAGCTATTGCCATAATTTCCCCATCATATCTAATCGGCTCAGAGTAATTAAATTATTTGCCCAGAGTCTCAGAAGTGAAATCAAAATGATCTTTCCGTATGTGATTCCTGTGTACAGTGAGTAACTAACAGTGAGTGGTAGCTACTTACATGAAGTGAGAATGAAGTCAGGGGAGCACTAGCCTGAGGTTGAAAATGAGGAGCAAGAGATCTCAAAAAGAGAGGCAAGAGGCCCTGGAGTTGGAACTGTAAAGTAAGCTGGGGCAGATAAAAGACATCACTACCCAGCTGGAATGCCTCTGAGCTCAACATCAGGATAAAACTTAAAGAGGCAGAGAAAGGGGGAAAATGATCAGAGTATGAACTATACATTTTATCTGATAAAAAATTATGTCAACTATTGGATCCATTTCTGTTCAGCTCGGTGGATTTATCTTTTTCAGAGACATTGTTTTGTTTTCTTAAAGGCAAGGAAACAAAAGAAAGAAGAGTGATAGAGAAAACTTGGTTTGTGAGTGTCAAGTCTAAAGGATACCCTTACCAAAAGGGCAGGCCCACTGACATCCAAAATTGAGTCTAGGCCCATCTCAACCTTGACTATAAGGAGTTTTCCAGCCATTGGATAAAAGCCAGCATTCCTGAGCACCTTGTAAAACTGGTTCCCATCTGCCAAAAAGGATCATTTCCTTTATCTCTGGCAAAAGGGGCATATGGCTCACTATTAACATGTGTCTGTGGTGCCCATCAGCATTTCAAGGTCCATATTAGCTTCCATGATTCCTCAGTCCCCATTCACAAGTATGTGTTATGCATTTCAAAGTTCATGTTGGCATCCTAACCCTTCTCACCCATTTCTCTACTGGAAACTCCCTCCAGGCCATGGGCTTCCCTCCCCACAGCTGCTTCTTTATAACTTGGCTATTCTCACTATTAGTGTGCTCTGTTCTCTGTTCCCTGATAGTCTCGCAGAGAGACCTGGCCATGTCCAGTCTGCTGGCCATGTTCATTCTACTTCTCTCTGTTCTGGATTACTCCAGATGCCTCTGGCTTTTTTAAATATCTACAATAAAACCTTCACGTATCACAGACAGTCAAATCAGCAGTCCCTTTATCAAAGGCCCCTTGCATACGATGAGTATCTTTCTGGCAAGGCATGTATGCTTGAGTAAGCAGGAAATACCTTACAACCAAAGGCATTCTAAGCAGCATCTGTTTCTGTTTTGTCATTATTACCCATGGTTTAAGAAATACACAGCTTTACAAATGCTAATCCAAGCCATTAACTAACCACAGAGAGTCAGTGGGCATTTATTTACAACATGCCAAGTAGAAGATAGCACCTAGAAACATGTTATATTCATTGTCCACACTCTAGAAAAATTGAGATTTATTTGTAGAGAAAATCTCATCATCTGCAGGATATGTGATAATCCAAAAGGCAAAATTGTTCACAGACAGTAAGCTTAGGGAGTGGACCTTAGGAGATTAGATATGAAAGCAGAGACAGTTGTGGAAGAATGAATTGGTGGAAGGGAACAGATTTGCATCTATTCCTGTTGGTCATGTTTGGGTTGTTCTCTTTGTGTATTTATTTAGATTTTTGAAAAGGCAAATCCTAAGACAAAGATGTCTATGCCAGCAGTTTGTTGAAGGCAAAAGCCCAGGACACAATTGAATGAGGAATACGATAGCGAGACAAAGCAGGTGGAGTCAACAAAGGAGTCATCACTACAGTCTCTGCTGTAGAGCACTCAGTTTCTGGGGCATCTTGGAGTATCATACAGACTATTTCCTAGATTTTCCTTCCTGAAGAACAGGGCTGACGTCATTCTAGTGGTTGTCAGGCTCCATTGACTGAAGGTTAACCTGAGAGGAATCAATGTCCCGTCCTTTCTGACTTCTGTGGTTTGGGAGAAAATTCTAAGACAGAAAAAAAAAAAGATCACAGCTTTCCATCGAGATGAGAGCACTCAGTATGAGACCAGGATTGCCCTCCATGCTATGGTTGAAATCAGAGGGAGGCAAAAGATGTGGTCGAAGGCACACATGTCATACTTTCTAATCTAGGAAGTAGACACAAGCTTTCTTGTACCCTTCCTTTAATTGCTCTTGTCCAGAAATGTCTCACGGAGCACTCTGCTGAAATGGACTGTAAGAAACTGAGCTGTTTTGGTGAGGGAGCTTGTAAGTAAGACTAGTTCCCACATGTGTTATCTCCTTCTCTCATCACTGTGAC